TTTTTTAGTAGAGACGGGGTTTCACCGTGTTAGCCAGGGTGGTCTCGATCTCCTGACCTCGTGATCCACCTGTCTCGGCCTCCCAAAGTGCTGGGATTACAGGCTTGAGCCACCGCGCCCGGCCTATGATTTGCTTCTAAACAGTGGTGGGGAGTGGGGCCAGGAGGAGAGTACAGACCCAACAGGGTAGGGCAGGAGTTGACAATTATTATAACTAGGTCTTGGGTACCTCGGAGCTTATTATACTATCTTTTCTACTTATGCATATGCCCCCAATTTCTTTTTTGAGATGGAGTCTCACTCTTGTTGCCCAGGCTAGAGTGCAATGGGGTGATCTCAGCTCACGGCAACCTCCGCCTCCCAGGTTCAAGTGATTCTTCTGCCTCAGCCTCCCGAATAGCTGGGATTACTGGTATGCGCCACCACATCCGGCTAATTTTTTTTGTATTTTTAGTAGAGACAGGTTTTCTTCATGTTTGTCAGGCTAGCCACGAACTCCCAACCTCTGGTCAGCTGCCCGCCAAAGCCTCCCAAAGTCATGGGATTACAGGCATGAGCCACCATGCCCAGTCCTCACATTTTTATAATATTTAACAAGTTAAAAAGAGGATGAGGCAGTTTTTTCTAGACGCACGCTGACTATGCACAGAATTGTCCAGGAGGATGTGCAGGAGATGGGCAGTGGTGGCTGCTCCTGGGGAGGAGGCAGGGCACTGGGTGAAAAGGGGCCCCCAGTACTCCGTCCCTGCCTTAGTGTCCTCCCAGCCTAACCGACAAAGACAAGTCCCCCGACTGGCGTGCTGACCTGGGGGCCGTGGCTCTGTCCGGCCCACCCCCGACTGGCATGCTGACCTGGGGGCCGTGGCTCTGTCCGACCCACCACCACATCCTGAGAGCCCAGGATGGGCCTGGCACACTAGATGCTGCTTCGTAACATCGGATGAGTGGGCGGATGAGGCAGGCTCTCACTCTGTGCTCTTTTGTGCCTTCTGGATTTTAGACCACGTTGGACATGTTAGACACAGGCATCTGCATTATAAACACGTGCTCCCAGCCATTGCAAAGCAAGTGCTATATCTGCCTGTTCAAGGTTGCTTTCCAAAGAAAGTCCTACAGACTTACTGCCAGATTTTTTTTTCTTTTCTTTTTGAGACAGAGTTTCACTCTTTTCGCCCATACTGGCGTGCAATGATGCAATCTTGGCTCACGGCAACCTCTGCCTCCCAGGTTCAAGTGATTCTCCTGCCTCAACCTCCTGAGTAGCTGGGATTACGGGCATGTGCCATCACACCTGGCTCATTTTGTATTTTTAGTAGAGACAGGGCTTCTCCATGTTGGTCAGGCTGGTCTCAAACTCCCGACCTCAGGTGATCTGTCCGCCTCGGCTTCCCAAAGTGCTAGGATTACAGGCGTGAGTCACCACACATAGCCAAGATTTTGTACTTTAGAACCTTGAGTTTTACATTAACCCAGCAATGCTAGGTACTAGCTCCGTGACTGCCTGCATCTGGCCCCCTGCTCTGTTCTCGAGCCCCTGGATGGGCCACTCTGTCCCCTCCGCATACTGTGCAGGATGTAAGCCGAGGGCCTGCTTGAAGGCTGCCTGCTTGGGCAGGTCCTGGAAAGTTGTCTCCCACAATGATTCCCAGTGCTACACGCAGAGGTGACACTCCACCCAGCACCCTCAGCACAGACGCTGCTCACCTCCTCCTGGGCTTCCCAGGAGGTCTGGGCAAGGCCACAGGACCACCCCATAGTTCCCCCCAGGAAGTAGAGCCCTCACCGCTGGGACAGATTCATCTCCTTGGCCACTCGCTGGGACATGGCCACGGCGGCCACTCGGCGGGGCTCCGTGACACCGATGATGCTGTCTTCACTGGGGGAGGAAGAACATGGCCATCAACAGTGTGTGGCCCCACCTGCTCATCCCAAAGCCTCATGCAGTTCCACAGCAAGATTCACCATACTGACCTGGTGCTCGCCCAGGGGCCACGGGAAACAAGGCTAGGCTGCACTACTTTTAACAGCAAAGGGAACAGCCCAAATGCCAACAACACACAGAAAACGGTTCAACATTCACGGTGCAGCGGACACCAGGCAGCCGCTAGAAGGAACGGGGCCTGGGGGAACCAGGCTGGGAGCTCTGTTTGCCCCAGTCAAGCACAAGCTCCTCCAGACACAGGAACCCGCCAAGCCGACGGGTGGCTGGTCCCAGCTCTGTGGGAACGTTAATGCCACAGGCCTGGGGCTGCTCTCCCTCGAAAGGCTGCTGACAGGGCTGGTCCTCGCTGGGTGCCTGAACCTGGACAACAGGAGAGCTCCTTCCATTCCCTGTAAGTGCGGGCCCACCGTGCCCAGGCTGTTTGTGCAAACAGGGTGGTTTATGCCGGACACCTGCTTTCCTTCTAGGCATCTAGGATTTCGTTCCTGCCAGGCAGGGCGGGCTTAGGCTACCCCAATAATAGCCGTGAACCTTGAATCTCTAACAAGCTTCCCTGGTGCAGGGTAGTTCCTGTGTGGCCACAGGTGGCCACTGGAGAATCCAGTGTGTCCTGTGTTGAGTCCACCGGGAGGGGACTCTGGAAGCTGGAGCTGGGCTTCCCCCGAACACCACAGGTGCCACTGCCCTCTGCCGATCGCGTCCTTTGCTGTAACATACTATAGCCATGCATGGGATAACAAACTGAGTCCCGGAAGTCCCCAATTATCGAACCTGCACATGGTCTTGGGGACCCCAATAAACATGGGTCAAAAGTGCCCACAGGGGGCTACACAGTGAAAACAGTAAGCACAGGCCGGGCGCGGTGACTCACGCCTGTAATCTCAGCACTTTCGGAGGTCAAAGTGGGTGGATCACCTGAGGTCAAGAGTTCGAGACCAGCCTGACCAACATGGTGAAACCCCGTCTCTTGGTCGGGCACAGTGGTTCACGCCTGTAATGCCAGCACTTTGGGAGGCTGATGTGGGCGGATCATGAGGTCAGGAGATCGAGACCATCCTAGCTAACGTGGTGAAACCCTATATCTACTAAAAATACAAAAAAATTAGCCAGGCGTGGTGGCGGGCACCTGTAATCACAGCTACTCGGGAGGCTGAGGCAGGAGAATGCTGTGAACCTGGAAGGCGGACCTTGCAGTGAGCTGAGATCGCGCCACTGTACTCCAGCCTGGGCGACACAGTGAGACACTGTCTCAAAAAAAAAAAGGAAAAAAGAAAATAGAAAGCACATAGCTCTATGTGCCAGGGATAAAGTGTGCTACGCAAGTTCACTCACTTAATCCACATGACAACCTTGTGAAGTAGGTGCCATTATTCCCATCTCACAGCTGGGGCCCAGAGAGGTTAAGTAGCTTGTCTGAAGTCACACAGCATGCACAGGGCAGATCCAGGATCAGATCCCAGGGAGCCCCAGGCTCTTATCAACCTTTCAGGGCATCTCCAGTGTCACTGAGGGACCTAGAGAGAACACTGTGTCCAGCCCCTACCTGCTGTAGCCTGCTTCATAGAGAAACTGAGGCACCTGTGTGGTCTTCCCGCTGCCGGTCTCGCCACACACGATGACAATGGGGTGCTCGGCCACAGCCTCCATGATCACTTGTTCTTCAGAGAGAATTGGGAGCTTCAGCCGTTCTTCCTGGAAGGAGACGAAGTCAGCACTTGGGCAGCAGCAAGACGACAGACAATGATGTGACCTCCAGGAAGGTGGCAGCTGACACGTGGGTGCTGAACAGATGTGCTTGCTGGGGAAGGAGGCCTTGACAGCTGGGGAGGGGACCAGGAGCCATGGTCCAGGTGAGACAGAGACAGGGACCGCATCCTTCGGGATACCAGGCCTGACCTCATCACATCCTTCGAGACCGGCCTGACCAACATGGTGAAACCCTGTCTCCCGGCTGGGCGCGGTGGCTCACACCTGTAATCCCAGCACTTTGGGAGGCCGAGGCGGGCGGATCACGAGGTCAGGAGATAGAAACCATCCTGGCTAACGTGGTGAAACCCCGTCTCTACTAAAAATACAAAAAAATTTGCCGGGCATGGTGATGGGTGCCTGTAATCCCAGCTACTCGGGAGGCTGAGGCAGGAGAATGGTGTGAACCAGGCACAGCCTGGTTGGGGCAGAGCAGTCTCTCAGAGATATGGGAACCCTCAGCTGTCGCTGGCGGGAGTCTCAATTAATGGCATAGTCACTTTGACAAATAATCTGGTGCAAATTTTCTCAAAGTCAAGGGTGTGTGGCCCTGCAGTTCCTCTCCTAGGCACATATTCCAGAGCAGGTGTCTTCTACATTTTTTCCTATGACTCATGAAAAGAAACACATTTTATATCATGACTCAGTACACACACAGACACATATATGTATCATATATGGAAGGAACAGTTCTGTGAAACATGGCTCACCCTAATGCGTATGCAGTGGCGCGATCTCAGCTCACTGCAACCTCTGCCTCCCAGGTTCAAGTGATTCTCCTGCCTCAGCCTCCTGAGTAGTTGGGATTACAGGCACATGCCACCACACCCGGCTAATTTTTGTAGTTTTAGTAGAGATGGGGTTTCACCATGTTGGCCAGGCTGGTCTTGAACTCCTGATCTCAGGTGATCTGCCCGCCTCCACCTTCCAAAGTGCTGGGATTACAGGCGTGAGCCACCATGCCTGGCCAACAAGCTCATATTCTTAATTTTGTTCTATTTCTATTCTATTCTATTCCACTTGTTGTATTTATTTACTTTTTGAGACGGAGTTTCACTCTTGTTGCCCAGGGTAGAGTGCAATAGTGTGATCTTGGCTCACTGCAACCTCCATCTCCCAGGTTCAAGTGATTCTCCTGCCTCAGCCTCCCGAGTAGCTGGGATTACAGGAACCCACCACCATGCCGGGCTAATTTTTGTATTTTTAGTAGATGGGGTTTCACCACGTTGGCCAGGCTGGTGTCAAACTCCTGACCTTAGGTGATCCACCCGCCTCGGCCTCCCAAAGTGCTGGGATTACAGGTGTGGGCCACTGCGCCTGGCCTCCATTTTTTTTTTTTTTTTTTTTAAATATGAGGCCAGGCATGATGGCTCACACCTGTAATCCCAGAGACTTGAGAGACCAAGGCAGAGGATTGCTTGAGGCCAGAAATTCAAGACCAGACTGGGCAACATAGCCAGATTCTGTCTCTACAAAAAAATAAAAATAAAAAAGCCAGGTATGATGGCACATATCTGTAGTGCTAGCTACTCAGGAGGCAGAGGTGGGAGGACTGCTTGAGCCCAGGAGGTAGAGGCTGCAGTGAACTATGATCACATCACTGCACTCCAGCCTGGCAGGCAAAACAAGACACTGTCTCAAAAAAAAAAAAAAAGAAAGAAAAGATTAAAAGCTACTCAATTCATGACCCAAAGATGGCTATGACGTCATCTGCAAACACTGCTCAAGAGAAACTTCTGCACACGCGCTCATAGGAGAGGGACAAGAACGTTTAAAACAGCGGTGAAGGTGGGGCATGGTGCTCATGCCTATAATCCCAGCACTTTAGGAGGCCAAAGTGGGCAGATTGCCCGAGCATGGGAGTTCAAGACCAGCCTGTGCAACATGGCAAAACCCTGACTCTACAAAAAAATACAAAGTTAGCCAAGCATAGTAGCGCGTGCCCATAGTCCCAGGCCCCTTGGGAGGGTGAGGCAGGAGGATCACTTGAGCATCGGAGGCGGAGGTTGCAGTCAGCTGAGATCAAACCTCTGCACAGGGTAGCGAACCTGCATTTCCGGGGAGCGGTTCACAGGGATGAAGACAGCAGGCTTGGCCAGGGCCCTGGGCAGTGGGGGTGCTGCAGCTGGAGGAGGAGGAACAGGCATGCCAGCCGGCGCGGGCTGACAGCTGGGTGCTGGAGTTGGCGGCAGAGGTGCCACGGTGGTCCCCGCACCAGCCTCAGCCAGCTCAGCAGCCGGGTCCTCGTCCAGCTCTGACTCCCCCTCCAGCTCCGACTCCTCCTCCTCCTCCTCCTCCTCAGTTGAGGGCTGGCGGCGATGCTTCCGGTGGGCACCGCTGAGGCTGCTGATCTTCTCCTGGCCTGGGGCCACCACCTCGTCAGGCTTCCTGTTGAGACAGCAGAGACTTCAGACCCAGAGGCCCCACCTCAGTCCCCAGAGGTCAGGACTCCAGGGCCACACACCTCTCTGCCTCAGGGCCTTTGCACCTGCTGTTCCACTCCCTGAAATGCCCTTCCTACAGATAGCTCCTCTCACTCCACTTAAGCCTCTGCTTACGTGCCAGCTGTCAGGGAGACTCCCTGACCACACACAGACCCTACACCTCTTCCTTCTCCCTCGCTCTTCCCTGCTTCATTTTCTGTTCAGTGCTTCCCAGCATGGGACACAGATGCACTCACCTGATGACTTCCCACGATTACACCTTCCCCCATGACACTGGGAAGCTCCTTAAGAGAAAGGACTTTATTTCTGTGCACTGCTCTACCCTCAGGGCCTAGCAGAGAGCCTGGGACAGTCTGCACTTGATAAACAGTCACTAACTGAACAGTGCTCACAGGCACAGGCCAGGCCTCATGTAAACGAGTAGCACAGGCTGAGTGAGACCACAGAGCCTGGTGGGACTAGGTGGGAGGGGCACACGGGCCATTTAAGGGTCAGCAGCTTGGTGGGGACACTGCTGGTGTGGCCGGATCGTCCAAGTAGTCAAGACTAGGTGGGAACATGAATTCGCCTTGTCACCCAGGACGCAGTGCAGTGGTGCAATCACGGCTCGCTGTAGCTTCAACCTCCCAGGCTCAGGTGATCCTCCCACCTCAGCTGCCAGAGTAGCTGCCCTTTCGGCTTGGTTGTTCTAAGCCACCGTTGTTTGCAGTAATTTGTTATGGCAGCACCAGGAAGCTAACATATTGGCAAACAGCACTCATGCCTTAAAACACGACACAAACCGGCCAGTATGGTGGCTCACGCCTGTAATCCCAGCACTTTGGGAGGCCAAGGCGGGCAAATCACCCGAGGTTGGAAGTTCAAGACCAGCTTGGCCAACATGGAGAAACTCCGTCTCTACTAAAAATACAAAATTAGCCGGGTGTGGTGGCACACGCCTGTAATCCCAGCTATTCGGGAGGCTGAGGCAGGAGAATCGCTTGAACCTGGGAGGTGGAGGTTGTGGTGAGCTGAGATCGCGCCATTGCTCTCCAGCCTGGACAACAAGAGCGAAACTCCGTCTCAAAAAAAAAAAAAAACCAAAAAAAAAACCACACAACACAAACCGAACAAAACCCACTGACGGGCCAAATCCAGCCCTTGACCACCTAATGGCAATTTCTGGCCTAATCAACTGTACAAAAGCTGGAGGAGCTGTAACATGGGACTCTACATCGCAGGAAAACACCCACATCACTGGAGCAAGAAACTTTGCTGTCCTGTGTGTCGCAGAAGGTTCAGCAGCATCTATGGCCTTTACCCACTAGAGGCATTTAGGATGATAATCAATTATCAGCCACTCAGGCCACCACAAAGGTATTTTCTCAAATGCTCCACCCCCAGAGGACCCCATCACCTATGCACCCTCCCTAGGGGGCCCTGGAGGGAGGGCAGGGTTAGGAAAGGAATGGCCAACTCACTGTTTGGTGTGGTACATGCGGTCCCCAGTGCCCAGCTTGGAGGTGGTATAAAAGAGTCTCATCTCGGCTTCAGAAGCCTGGACTTCACTCAGCTTCTGTAGCATCTCTGCTCGCTGGGAAAGGAAACGAGTGTGTTATGCATTTGCCATCATGACCCTCTTTGAGCATCGGAGGCGGAGGTTGCAGTCAGCTG